CCCCCTTATTTCAAAACTTACAGAATCTAGTCCTGTGACAAGCATGCCCAGGATTACTGTGAAGAAGACGAGCAGCTTCATGTTGTTAGTTAGCTTCTCACTTTGTTCCTCTTCTATCTGTATTATTTTGATTCTGAAAATAAAACAGGAACTTAGTGTCATGTTGTAGCTCGCAGTATTAGCTTTCTTGTTTCTATTATCCTCAGGTGGTTTCAGAACAAGCCACAATACAATTGGTAGAGGAATTAAGCATTAATTTGCTATGGAATACCAACTTATTATTTCCACAAATTAAATCAGAGGCTATTGTTTGAAGCTTTTTTTTTTTGTACATTTAGCAATACAACCAGACTTTTTTAGAGTTCAAATGAAGTAGAGAAAGGGAAATTGGAAAAATCCATACTCTGTTTCTGCAGTGTGGACTAACAGTCAGAAATTGGCAGGTATATTTAGTTGCTGTCCAACTATTTGTACCTATTGAACTGATTATTACTACCTTGCAACAAAAGCACTGAACATCCACATTTAGGGTATGAAAGGGAAAGCTCCTTTTTCATTACCTCTATAGTTGCTGACTGCATCTTGTTGATGCGAGGCACTTGCATAAACTGGCCACCTCACTGAGTGCCTCTGACCACTACAAACTCTTGAAAGTCTGGTCTTGATGTTACCTCACTTACTTATGGTATTAGAGAGGCTTAGTACATATTTAGTCTTGATTTCTTATATACAGCTAGATCTTGTTCCCAAGGATGGATAGCAACCTTCCCAAGAGTGACTTAAAAAAATAGCTTGTAAAAACAATAGGGGAAGAGATCTATAGAGCACCAATATCCACCCCCCCCCCCCCTTTTTTTTTTTAATTGCAATGCAAGTCACAGGATTTTTTTTAAAAGTGTCCTCAGTTTTAGAAAACTGAAACCTGATTTTTAAGATTTCAGGGGAATCTTGGTTATATTTACATCAGCAAGCAGTGCAACGCAGCAGAAGAGCGTACACAGAACTGAGTTGGTGCTGAAGACCTGCTCCACTTTGCCTGCTTCAGGGGTTTCTACACTGCACTAGTTCTAGTTTGGTCCCACAGACTGAACACCTGCTGATATTTGGAGTGCATCTTCCAGTTCAGTTTTATTCAGAAGAAACACAGTGCAGGTACTCTAAAGCCATGCAGCAGTGTCAACAGAGATCACTGAATTCATTTGAAAAAAAAGCTGACATGATCCAAACCAAAATGCTAATGTAGATGCACCCTTTACTTTTAAAGCAGGTTTCATAATGCAAGAAAGCAAATCCTGCCTCAGGTACTTGGACACACACACTTTTCAGAATCAGTTGAGACTTCAGCAGAGATGGTTTCTGTTAAACATTATTTATATTAAGATAATTATTTTCAGCATATTTGGCATCTATGCAAGTAATCTGTCATCACAAATAGCAATACTGCTGATTTTTTGTTAAAATTATGAGATACCGTAGCATGGTACAGATCTTCCCCACTGCTGAAGTACCGCACCATAGAAGGTTGGTGGGGTGTTTTGGTTTGGGTTTTTTTTTTTTTTTTTAATTTAAAGAGCACCCCCTTAATCCTGAGACCTCGCATTTTTACCCTACAATCGTAATTCGGTTTTAAAAGACATCGCACTCACCAGCGCCGGAGCCCCCCGGAGCGGCGGCTGTTGGTGCCGGGCGG